TGACTGGGTGGACAAAAGCTCCCCCGTTAAAATTCTGGGCGGACAAAAGCCCTCCCTTTAAAATATATGTTTTTTAAAATATCATTCTTAGCTTAATATGAGTGAAAAGCATTACAACTATTTTAATTTTTTAGTCATTTTGCACAATAAAGGTTATTGGTTCAAACCTACATAAATGGTACATAATACTCAGAAAAAAATGCCCAGCCTCATCACGTCAGAAAACCCTAAGTTTACTCCCTAGAGGCGTGTCACGACAAACCAACATGGTACTCCTACGATAAATTGAACAGTACTTGAACAATCAGACAATAAAATGGTGCAAAAAGGTGCAAAATTACCAAAAAATAGCAGCGATTTATATGTTGCAAATATACCAAATATTTTATGCTAAGATATTCAAATGTCAATTGTATTTCTTGGGGTATTTCTGTCCTTGTAACTGCTAGCAATCATTTTAGGCCAATAGAAAATCGTTCTTTCCGAATATCTTTTTTCTTATACAATATATGTATATAAAATATCAGACACATTTTCTTTGTGTACAGTTTCTTATTTTTCGGACAAAAGATTTGTACTTTGATAGAAAATATGTGTAGCCGAAACTGAATTTACGCAACGATATTACTAATAACAGTCTAACACTTCAGAATAGCAATCCCTTGCCAACCACGATCATGGAAAACACAGACAAAAAATGATAAAAAAAGATCCATGGAAGCAAACTCTATAGACTCATTGTTATATTAACAGAAAATAGTATCTTTATAAACATATTTTAAACATTTCATATAAAATGAAATCTAATAAGTACATTTGTATTTAATTAAAAATTCTTTAGCAGCTATGAATATTCCAAAAGTACTTATCTATCATCATTTAAATTACATTTTTAAAAAAGAAATGATCGTGTACTTTAATAAATTTGAATGTAAGTTGAATGAATATTATTGATACGAATTGGTGGGCCATTTTGCTTACACCCGTTGCTTACACCCGCTGTCTTATTAATCACTTTATACATTTGAAGTCCTATTTTGCACAATCTTTTTTAAATGGAGTATAGAATGCAGTAAGGCAGGCAAGAGTACTGGCAATAAATGAGCTGCGTCACGACAAAACCAAGGCTGGTTTGGATCCATGCTGGTCGCAAACCCATTATGTTGGTTTTCTTGTGACGCGGTTTCTAAATATGAATAGTATGATTCTAAATGTGATATGTCATTTTACTGCTGAAAAATAAGCCAAAAATGGTTAAAACATGAATGATCTGGATGAGCTCTTCTAACACTTCAAGAATTGTTTTATTCTGTCTTTCATAACCTGTGATGACATGACAATCTTTCTAAAATATAAAGTGTTACTGTGTATTTAATATCTGTCTACAGTGTCATTAATAGAAATATTGTTTTCAAGACGAAATAATGTTCTTGAAATGTCTTGTCTTTTTATCCGAAATTACTGTCGTGACTTTTTCTGTCCGAATTCATTTCACTTCATTGATTTTTAAATTCCGTCCGATTATCGGGCAAAAATACTATATAATAACATGATTTTTCGATTGAAAATATCTGTTATTAAGATGATCAACATATTATAATTAACCCTTACTATAAACAGTCACTTATGTTTGTGTTAGTAATTAGGACCAAGTAAATTTGTGTAATTCTTAAAATAGATGTCAATGCCAATTCACCTCAAATCATTTTTTTTTTTCAGAATGAACAGTTTAAACATTTTAATATGTATGTATAAGTAAACATCTATACAGACGTTCACAAATCACATTTATTGATCTCAACACGGTATCTTAAATACTTTCATTATCAAACAGATCGATCAATACGTGTGAGTCTATAATCGTTGATATTAGAGAAATGGCAAATCTTTCTTTAATAAGGTTTAAATGTAAGTAAGTTAGCATGTTTTTAAAATTGTTCAGTAATCGAATGTACATTTTATTTGTAATTTTCAATTTTTCATATCAATGTCCTAAAGAGTTTGTCATTTAGCAATTAAAAGGGATTTTTAGTGGCTCAATATATACTTTATAAAGGATATGTGAAATCATAAGTGGCATATATTACAATTTTATCTCATGTCCGATATATAAGAATTTCTTTCACGGGGTATTACAGGCGGACAAAAACACAAAGTGTCTCTTATAAACGGTTAAATTTAATTTGTAGAGATTTGAACTGTCTGTGCAGCCCTGCATAAACAGAGAAATTCAAGCCTAGCCGCTCTCATGATAACTGCCTTCTAAGGCTCCACGCAATCATGGAGTAAGATTTAACTGTAAAGTGGAAATGGGATTATGTGACTAGGGATTATGAGCCTACTTCACAATGTCTCGCCTAGTGTTTTTGTAGAACCGGTATTTTGGCAGATTTGTGCCATGCAATATTTGCTCCTCGGGGCGCTAGCCAAAGACACAAGAATATGACACAGTGGTGGCATTGTCGTATTTTCGTGTTTTCGCCTGGCGCTCGTGGGGCGAAAATACGACAAAGCAATGTCTTTGTTGTATTTTCGTGTTTTCGTCTGGCGCCCCTCGGGGCAAAAATATGACAAAGCATTGTCTTTGTTGTATTTTTGTGTTTTCTTATGGCAAAGCGAAATAAGAAAACATGAACACAAGACAAATGGTGACTGTCGTATTGTCGTGTTTTTGCCTTGAGCCCCGCGTGGCGAAAGTTCGCCAGTGGTGAATTTGTGGAACTAGTGTGTATTCGCCTTCCGCCCCGCGGAGCGAAAGAACGACAAAATGTTGACTTTCAGCTAACATACCGATTTTGTTTATTTACGATGATGATTACGACGACACACATTATCAGTCGTCTGCATGTTAACCGGAACAAATGTACATATTACATCAGCAAATATTGAAATGTTGTCTATTTGTATCGGTTAATTTTGTATAAATATATTTATTAAAAGGAAAAAATAATAAACATAAATGCGAGAATGATGTTACCGCAGAAATAAGATACGCAGAAATTAAAAATTCCTGAATTAAAAAAAAGTAGCAGAATATTAAGACAGCAGAAATAAGTACTTATACGGTATTCGTGTCAACAAACCACGGAAAAATTATATACGAACATTGACGTGATCTGATATGACATATATACACAGATGACAATAAATTTATCTAGACCAAAAATATTATAATTCATGATATAAATGTCCATGATAATAAATCACTAAGCACTCTATAAACATTTTGTTCAAAAACCATTTTATAAGAATATCATAAGACATAAAAACATTGTTTTTATCAATGTTTGAAATACTTTGGAAAATGTGCCCGTTGTAAAACAATTGACTTTGGAAATGGTCTCGATAACAATGAGCTAACAACAGCGACATTGTTATCTTCAACATTGTACTTACAACGCAAGAACATGTTGTCACCTAAGTGCAATAACTGATTAACTCCTATAAAATTTACAAGAACTTATTCTGTTCTAATGTGACGAATTTTACTAGGCTTCTTTCTTGTTCACATTTGTATGAAAATATTTGGCTGTTCCATATGGTCTTTTTTAAGCATTACTTTCGTATTATTGTATTAAAAAGGAATTCAATGGATAAAAAACAAATAAATCTAATAAACGCGACCAGAATTCCATAGAATTTTACTCATCTTATGTCCCAGGAGGTTCCGTTAAATAGTAGAATGCCATTTAGAAAAACATATTCTAAGACCATATAATATATATTCCAACTCTTCACGTCACTTCAAGTATCTGTTTAAGCCCTAGTTGTTAAATAACGCAAATAGGTTTTGATATAAGAGGCTGAAGTCTGACGTTTAATTCGGATATAATGAGAACTTCAATGTCATTAACGATAAACTGCTGCTATAAAGGTTCTCACAGAGTCTCTTTGGTGACATTTATTGTAACATCTGGTCTTCGTTAAATAATATGGTCATAAAATATATTTTGGCGAAATTTACAACAACAAAAAATCAGAGAGAAAAACGGAATCCCAAAAGAACGCCAATAAAAGAAAAAAAGGAAATGTTTCAGGCTCGTTCTGACTGCGCACTTGACATGGACGGTAGTGGTAACTGCAAGCTACGGTCCACGCCCCATCTCACCGCCTTAAGCAGAATTCAACATTAAAACATTTAAATGGCTAAATTTTGATTTCGTTTTAATTAAGAAACATCCATAGAGGTGTTGATGCGGCTGTTATAACGAAACCTTACATGTGTCACGTACATGCCATTCCATGAAATTGGATCATAGGTTAGGAAGCCTGCATATCGCAGATATACATGTAAGACGTCAAAAGACAAATCTAAAAACTAAACAAAACTTGTTATGAAATATATATCGGCGAGCACAAATCTACGTAGCTACTGAACAACGCATGGTTATGCTTTTTCGGATTGGTGAGTTCATGTTGGAGAAAATGAGTATAAAAAGGCTTGGTAACATGGTGACACTGGCGTGTTTAAATATTTTTTTTAAATCAATATATACAGAGATTTTAATTAAAAATATGAAACTAAAGCAAACCACGAACATAATTTATTTATAAAAGAAAAAAAACAGGTATTTCATACAAATACCATGATGGTGATTGATTAAGGCTGTACATTAAATATATTTTATAGAACAAGTAAACATACTATTTTATATTATAAATTCGGTGCATTGTTTGTTGTTGTTTTTTAACTATCAAAGTTGTGCTTCATTTGTGTCTTTTGAATATCATATATCTCTATACATGTACATATACATGACTTTTAAATAAATTGTACAAGCAAAACCAAGTTTGCGTTTCACCAGTGTTTCAGCTGAAAACACATTGATAGGAATACTTTTTTTATTATCTAAGATTGTAAACTTTAAGTTACTTCTCCGATATTGATTTTTAAATGCTTTATTTTTTTATAATTTGTTTTATATGATTGTATAAGGTCGTTATTTGATATATCCGTCAGGAAATAATTTTCATATTTATGAAGTATGTTAACAATAGAATTCAAGATAATTTGTATTTGTTCTTTTATAAATAAGTAGGAAATATCAGACAAAAGACACATATTTTTCTACTTCTATATCGTTTATTATGACGAAACATTTTATGTTATGTTATCCAATAATTGGCGGAACTCCTATTCCGGCTTGTGTTGGACCAAACGGGTGCTGTATACCAGGCATAAACATGGCCGGTGTGGTAGTTTTCACGGCTGGAGACGTTGTAACCGCTGTATTGTTATTCAAGTGAGTCTTAAACCATTGGATGAGGGTACCTGTAATGTAGAAAAGGTATCATTTATATAAATGATATTAACAAAAGGTTCAACTGCGATGTTTTTTTTTTTTTCTATTTTCTTTGCCTGATTCCCATTCGTTAACCCTCAATGTGCCTTTTACGTCAGTGGTCCTGTGTTACTGGATATTGTGGGGGTTATATCATACATATTGTTACGTTCAAACTGCTCCCACTTGTTGATGTTGATTGTCATAGTCTAGGTTTAATTGTTCTGATGTAAGAAAATACTTGAATTAATCAAAGTGTAAAGAACATACATATGGGCTGTATTTTTCAGCACATTAAGTAACGTAAATATTTTATGTCTGATGATCAAACAAAGTTTGCACTGCTTTAAGATGAAAGTGAATGCGTGAAAATATTTTGAAATCAGCATAAATTCTTCCATTAAAACGACATATCTTGATCATCATCCGTTCATTTCTGTAGGTTTGCGTTTTATTTAATAACAAGACGGGCACAAATTCCTGATGTATATAAAGTGTAATAAATAAGTATGAATGTATTAATATCTCTAGGCAACACATTATCATACGAGACGTAGAATGGTGCCACGCCAATACTAATACAATGTCACAAATGAGCCGCGTCACGACAAAACTAACATAATGTGTTTGCGACCAACATTGATCCAGACCAGCCTGCGTATCCGCGCAGTCTGATCAGGATCTATGCTGTTCGCTATCATTTTCTTTACTTGTAATAGGGTTGGTAAGCGAACAGCATGGATCCTGATCAGACTGCGCGGATGCGCAGTCTGGTCTGGATCCATGCTGGTCGCAAACGCATTATGTTGGTTTTGTCGTGACACGGCTCAAATATCTTCTAGAAATGCAAACTCTCCAAAGCGTATACTCCCTCTGATTATTACAGACAGCTGATACATGGTAACTTTGTTGGACTTATTTGCAAATGCGTATGCTAATATGAATGATTTTAGGTTTCCTACAGGTTGCCTTCCCTTCCAAAACCATGTAATAGATTTGATATGTTAAATGACATTTAATTGGTATATAAATCATTCTACATTTGTACTTTTAGTGTCGACAGAATACATTATATCATACGCTTATGAGCAAAGAGCAACCATAATTCTTAACTTAGAAAATGAATTTTAAAAAGCTTGTGTCAACTTATATTGAACGTCTTTATGTATCAGTATTTCTGTAAGTTCAACCGTTATTCTTTTCCGAAATAAACAAGCATTGTACAAAAAACGACATAAAAGATCGAAGTTTAACTTACTCATATTGATGGTGGTTCCCGGCTTTGTCGTCGCTGGTTGCGTGGTCAAACTAAATGGTGTAGCAATACCTGGCAGGAAAGTAGGTATTGTTGTTGCATTTGTTAAAGACATCGTTGTAAGAAGTGTCGGAGTAGTTCCTGCAGATGGTGTTGTTAACACTGGAAGGAAAAGTAAAAGATGTAGCACGATGAAAATATTTTAAAATTATTTATTTGTATGTATGTATTATGACATGCACCGATTATGCAGCTTTATTCATGATCTTCAAATTGGCCTGTTTGTCCAGATATTACATAAATTATCTGACTTTCCCTTGGAAAATAAGTCATAATGACGTCACGACCAACATGCAACTATGTCTCGTATTATTACATTTAAGGAGTTCCATAAGGATTAAGGAGTCTCGCCTTTTTTTCTGTTTCTCTTTGTGTTCATGGTGTAGCGTTATCTAGACATAGAATGTTATTTTGCTTATATCAGTATACTGCCGCTGTTATAATCAATATTTCTTTTTTTTTAAATAAACCAAAAGAAAAAAGAGGGAGGCGTCGACGATTTTTTTTTTCTATTTACCTCTTGACAGTATTTTTCCCTTCTCTGTCAGTTTTTTATGCAATATTTAGACAAACTTTATATTATTTAACAATAAATGTATTCAATATCTTTCAAATTGCATTTCCATCTTTACTACATATACATTTTATCTTTATGAATTAAGTAAGTTTTGTTCAATTAAAATATTAAATATAATTATTGACATTGGGAAGGGATGTTGCAAATGTTGTTATAACTTGTAGGCCAACCCATATATCCATATATACCTCTTTCTTACTATTTGTTTCTGCATAATTTATTTAACCTTAAGCCTCGGTCTCACTTACTCCCGGCAGAGCCCAGGACCATCCCGGTAAGTTACCGGGATGATCCGGGACGATCCGGGATGAAATTATTGTTGCGGTCACACTAACCCCGGCAGCACTACGGTAGTTCCCTACTATCCATCCAGGATGCGCTCCGGATCATCCAGGCAGAGCCCAGGTGAAGCTACGGTTCATGCCGGTGCTTCCCCGGTCGTTCCCGGATGACGCCGGAAGAGCCCCGGTTGACCACGGCAGAGCCCCGGTCGATCCAGGCAGAGCCCCGGCAGAGCCCAGGACGATCCAGGCAGAGCCACGGTAGAACCCCGGTGGATCGAAAACGCCCGAAAATGATAACATGATAATGATGATTTTCTGAAAAATCCTTATGCCATACTGGATAGAAGGGAAATGGGAAGGCTTTTAATACAAGCAAGTTCAATCATCGCAAATTGTCCTTATTCTTTTGAAATGATCCGGGCTTTGCCGGGGCTCTACCGGGATCAACCGTAGCTCTACCTTTATCCTCCGGGGCTCTGCCTGTAGTTACCGGGGCTCTGCCGGCATATACCGGGGCTCTACCGTAGCTCTACCGTAGCTCTACCGGCTATATCATACCCCTGATCATCCCCGGTTTGTGCCGGCAGAGCTACGGTGCTTTCCCAGTATAACCCCGGTCGTTCCCGGCAGAGTTAAGGATGAAGCCGGCAAAGCTATACCTTCCCGGATCATCCCGGACCACCCCGGTGATATTAAATATTTTATTCCATCCGGGGTCGAATGCCGGATGTTCCCGGGTCATCCCGGATCATCCAGGACGTTGCCGGCAGAGTTACGGATGTACCCCGGTTGTTCCCGGTCGTACCCCGGTCGTTCCCGGATCACCCCGGACGTCTACCGGGGCTCTGCCGGGGCTCTGCCGGGATGTAAGTGAGATTGTAGCTTTACATGCATTTATGTATAAAATAGTTGCAAAAGAATTTTTATAAAAAATATTATTAAACTTAACCTATAACAGTATTGTCCAAGTAACACCCGTTCACCTCGAACCTCAGTGCAATATGTTGATCCCATTCCATCGGTATAATCCGTATACCTTTAGCAAATACTGGGCATGATAGTGGGTTGTCGACTATAGAATCCCCATCACTATTACCCATGAAAATCTGAAGAAGAAAAAACATAAAAGAATGATACAAATATTGTGTGCGTTCCTTTAGGCCTAAGGGTTGAGACATCAGAATTGCAGCCACCGTATATCCCTGCGTGAACGTATGAGGCGACTGAATGGGTTCGAATTTCTGGAGTCATCTCTTAGTTCAAGCAGTAAGGTGGTTTTGACCCCTAGTGATGCTTTAAGTTTGTAACACTTGAGATTACCCAAAGTCATATTTTCCTGTTTCGGTGTCATATTAGTGCATTTGTGTTATGCTGGGTAAAACCAAACAAACAAACAAATATTGTGTATTAGTATCTGAGAGAAAAATACAAGAACTGAGTGTATAGTAATATAGCGTATAGTGATCATCTGGTTTCAACGATACTTTGGAAAGGTTATCGTATTGCACCATCTCGGGTTTATGTATTGATATTTCACTGCCTTTACCTATTGCACTATGGTGAAAAATTGAAATACAAATGATCAAATATGGCATACAGATTAGATCCTTCTGGATAGATTTTTTCAAATGGCTGGGCACAAACCCTAATAGTGATTAGATTTTGCAGATAGCAAATTTGTTATAATTATAATGATGTATTTTGAATAAAAATAAATATTTACTTTACAAAGTTAAAGGAAAATAAACATGCTTGTATAAATTTATGTATGTTGTGACCTTGAAAATGCGGTACGTACCTGTTCTAAACCTAAATCGTTATTTATCAGGTGCCATGTTTTGCCATCTTCAGTGTATTCCACTTTATACAATGTCACATGATCGGTACCTTGATTTCGACCTTGTGTCTGTATCCCAGTTACCATAGTCATTTCATCAAACATAGCCTGGTTATAGTATGCGAAGAACAAAATATATCTATTTCATTCCATTTATTGACTTAAATATACACGCTAATAAATACATTTGATTATATGCAAATTACTTTTTTTAAAAATGTATTCATTAATAAAAGACATTCTTTTGACTGTGTAAAAATACGCTTGTACCAGCAGACAAATATGATCAATAAATGAGAATTATAGTAAAAACTAAGTATGCACAAGAAAATAATCGTTAAATATTCACTTATCATTTACTTATTATATAAATGATGTAGGACAATATTTGCAATTTTTGGATTTTTCCGCGTATTGATAATGCTGTTTTGTTCTGTTTCAACACATATTCACACAGTAGATACAATAAACAAAAATCATTTTGCATACTCACGTCTACACAGCAAGTTTATAGAAATGATATTCGGATTCAACGTCATTAAAATAACTTTATTTACAAACGTAAATGATGATACCAAAAACAGATTTTTATTTTCAATTTGTGTCAAGTCAGCAGTCTCTTTGATTTGATGTATTTTTCTCTAGTTCTTCGAAATTACAAATAAACGAAACAATGTTCACAAAAATACATAGGAACATATAAATGACAATAAAGCCTATAAGGCGTTGTTACCTCGTGTAAAACAAATACATATAGAGTAACATAAATGATTTACCTGTACATATTGACCTCCATTGTCACTTGTCGGTGACCAAGCGCCCATTAAAGTAGTTCCATTGTTCAAAGTGTTTTCTGTTTTGTTCAGTCTTGCTTGGACTGGTGTTGAAAGTAGCCCCGGGTCTGATTTGGAGCTCGAGGCTGTCAGGTGGTCATCTGGCAAGTGTTGAATTAATTTGTCATGGCAAAGCTCGTTCTGACCTAAATAAGTTGGAAAGAAATCATATTATATTAATGATGATAAAACTATCTATATTCATTTAAAATGACGTGAGTAAATTAATTAGTTTTAAAACAGTCATTATATTATATTGTCAAAGTATATACGATTTAGTATCACCAAAAATGAAAATAGTGAAGTTTGCAATGATTATGTATACCCAACATGATAAATATGAAAATGTTGCAAGCTTGATTTACCTACCGTCCGTACCCACACGCACCGACTTAAAATGATATTAGCGATACAAATATTAAAGTATTAAAACTTACATTTGTAGTATTAAAGAAAGCATAAAATCATCGGCAGATGCAATGAGATTCCAAGAAACACAGTATGTTGTCCCCATGGAAAAGAATAATTGTCTTCTTAACAAGAACGAATAGGCTATATGATTTTGATCTCTTCTTTGTTTATACAGTTTCAATATTTTAACAGAAATCTAAGCAAAAACAATGAGATGAAATTAACCAAACATTTGAATTGAATTGAAACATTACGAATAAATCTGCTATGATACGAGTCTGAAAAAAGATGAAAGAAACGGAATTTCAGGGAAAAAATGCGTAATAATGTTATAAATTATTAGTAAAATTAAATATTTACTTACATTCAACGCAAACCTTCGTCAGAAGCAATGTGATAGCTGAAAAATAAAATGTGTAAAACACAATAAACAAAATTGAATATGAAATTAAGTATAATTTATTTCTAAATCGTATTATAAGTGATATCATAAAAAATAAAAGTTAGTTATTAATGCCTTTATTTGTCATATATTATAATTGAATAAAAGAGACAAAAATACCTAATTACCAACAAGTAGTCTTAAGCGTATATCCATATTTACAACACACACCGTATCATTCCGCTAGCGTCAAGCTGCAGACACATTACTCATTCATTTACGCTGCCAAAATGTAAACACACAATTACAGTATCTTCTAATGGATAATGGTAGAAAGTTTTGATAATTAATTGTCTTATTTACTTAAGAACATCCTAAGATCTCACCTGATAATCAGTATGAGCCTAAAAATGTATAAACAATAAAACTGCATCGACAACAGAACAAAAGTTTTCAGCGTCTGCGCGTGTAACGACGTTTTGCAGAAGACTATGAGATCGGTCAATGCGTTAAGATTTAACTTATATAACTATTACATTTTTAGGAAGCTATCCAGCTAAGTTACGTAACGTCGGTGGTTCAACTCAGATGCCCATTCGTACCTGAAATAATGCAAGAAGGGGTACCTGAGGTTTTTCCCGACCCAAAAAATCCCCATATGACTTTTACAGTGTTAATGTGACGTAAAACCAAACTATATTTATTTGTATGACCAACGCAAATTAATAAACCCATGATCTATACGGTTCATTAATTCAATAATTTCATCTTCCATGCTCTAAAGAGGGAAATTCTGAGCATATCAATTCAATTAAAACAAATGCAATGTGATGCTTTATTTTGTATTTATTGTCCTTGTGATAAACATATAGTTAATTAAGCATTCATCTGAATTCTGTAAACTTAAAACATTGTTATGCTTCACTGTTCAAATAATGAAGCTTGGATATAACGAAAATCTCATATATAAAATTGTTTACTGATATAAAACAAATAATTTCACTGAAGGATAATTACATTGATAACAGAACGGATGTAATTTACTTAAAACTAGGAATACCTAAAGCTTTAAAGCGTGACATTATTAACCAAGTTTCCAACTTTTGAAACAAAAATCACACTTGACAAACAAACCGTATACAATATAAATAGAAACGTTAGACTGTATTACAATTTTAATCCCTACTTGAAAATTCGTTTATAAACAGACCAATCTGACTTAGATTAAGATCAACTTATTTTATTTCTGTCATGTAGCAATTTAGGAGCTGATTTATATAAGATTGCAATAAGGCCAAATAGATTTGAATAATTTTATTTGCTTTTCTTAAAGGAGCTCCACTAACGTCAAAAAGGCTAAAAATCATAAAAATTGAAGGGAAAAAAAAAAGATCAAGTAAAGCACTTAAAATAATGATATACAAGATGTACAAGAGATGTATTCAGAAATTTAATTGAAAATCGAGAGTTAGTGCAATGCTTAGCCCGATTTCAGTGAATGCTTCTCTGAAATGCATTGAAATGCTTTTCGTTTTTGTGTCATTTTGCACAGTGACAATGATTATTCTAGAAAAAAGGGTGAAGAAATGTTCTAAAAAGTTGCACATCAAATGGCACACAGATCTCTGGAAGATATTTCCAGTCCCATCATGTCAAGAAAAAAACTTGTGGAGTCCCTTTAATAGACATAAAACACATATCAGTTAAATATTCATAGAAAAAAAATCATATTCAGCATTTTTCTAGACAGGAAATCGAAAGGCATTGGTCCTAATCAGATCCTTTGAGGATTTTTTTTATTTTATTCCCATTTTTATTAAATGAGGAATCTATTTAATTGTATTGACTTTTGTATCGTTTTAATGAATATTGCTGTGACAAGGCCATGTTATATATTCTGACTAACTTGCACCTATTCAACTTTGTAACTTCTTATTCGTGTTTATAAGATATAAATGAAATGCTAAGGAACCAGTAAACAGATGTCGTGTTTGTTTTAACCTCTGTTATCTTGGATTGTTTTCTTATCAATTAGACTTAAGTCATCTTAACATGATGAAAACGTCTTCCACCCAACATTACAACATATCTAGGTTTCGATAATGCTCCGCAGAGATAAAACATGGCGTCCACATACCGTAGCCTACGTGAATCTCGTACTCTCACGCATGCGCATGACCAATTTTGACATCTCAACGTAAATATGGCGGACTGTGTTGCGATATTTAGTGTATTGGGTATAATAAATAACATTTTAAGTATAATTCATGTATATTGATAATGAATTTACATTATATGAATAATATTAAAGAATTGCCACTAATACTCAAACATGTGATAATATTCAATAACCTTTCAATAATGATTTCTGTAAAGTGTAAAAAGAATTATGTAAAGGTTTGCTTTTTCTTTTTGCAGCCTCTCTTACAGTAGCAGCATGGGCAGGTATGCGTTATTCAGATGTATTTGAGTAAAAACACGTGATAGTTTTAAGCATGTACCACAAAAAGACATAAAAAACTTAAAAATCACGTGTGAATAATTTCATTTTAAATATTTCTTTTATATTTTAATAACTTTAATAAGGTTTGACAAAATGTACCTATAAAATGGACGCCTAACACTTTTCTAAATAGTGAAAAACATTTTACTTTCTATCAAATTTTGTAAAAAGCAATTGTGAAATACGACTTTTTTAATAAGTGTTGGTATTTACTATAATAGTTACAATTTACCTATTGTAGTTGACGATATAAGATATTGGTATTAGTAAATTCATAACACACGTATTTTCATTTTAAATAATTAAAATGTTTACATATTTTAGCAAATGTCCCATCATCCACTTGCGAGTCTCTCAAAGCACCAATCAATGGCCTTGTTCAATGTTCGATAAACGGTACAGTATTGTAAGTTGAGTTTTGTCATGTCTTTATAATTTTCATTTAGCATCTCAATTATACGGTGAAAGAATTGATCGAAAATAGGTGTGTCCAAGAATTGACATTGAAAAGGTACCAAAAAAATGAATCATTCCGCAATAAGTTTCCGGCAACATTTCACATTTCCTTAGCCTTTCTCACTCCTTTTAGCCACCCATTGGTACAATGCCTATGATATACACTTTTAATAATATTTTAATAATAGTTTATAAATGTCATCAGTTAACTGTTAATATATGATGAAGATTATTGTTATGATCGAAATGAGTAAAAAATTATTTTATTTACTAGGTAGTAACAAAGTGTTACACTAAGTTCTTTCCTGACTAGTTTCTTAATATAATTTGTATTAAATTTCTGAAGATAACATTGAGAACTTTTTTCAGGACATGTACAGGGATATGTAACAACGGATATATGTTTTCTTCTGGACATGATTTCATCACGAGAACCTGTGAAGCAGGAACATGGAAAGGGGGAAGCGACCTTCCGTTGTGTAGCCGTAAGTTAAACATGGAACTGGTAATACAAATGCAGGAATGATTTTCTTGAATTTGGCTCATCTTGTTAATTTTTTACGTTATCGAATCAAAACATAAACTTCCAATTCTTGTAAATACTACTGTACGCATACATTACTGAATATTTCAGTTGATGCATTTTCATGTCCCATGACGAAAAACTATTTTTTTTAATTTTTGATTTAATCGTACATGTGCTCGTATATAAACAGTTTGTAAGAAAAAAAATTAAATCATACTTAACTTTTTGTTTTGATTATTATGCGCATGCGTGCAATACACAAATATTTGCGGTCGTCTGTACTAGTATATTTTATAAAATTAGTTGATACAGAATATCTTAGATTGGTTTTACAGCTGACTCGTGTGGAAGAAAGCTCCTCAGTGGCGTAAACAACAGTGATTTTACGGCTTCATCAGTATGGACAGGGGTCGTAGGTTATTATTTTGGCGCGGAAAGAGCTCGGCTAGATTCGGATGTCGTCATGATTGGCAATATTGCACAAAGTGGTGGGTGGCGTGCTGCCGATAATACACTAGATCAATACATTCAGGTAAGCATGATGTTAATAAGGCTTGTTATAGATGGTTTCTTTATATATTGACTTAATGATAATGTTTTATCAGCCTTTATTACATAATGATGCAAAGCTACTCAGTGAAAAAGAGAAAAAGTCTCTGATAGCAGTTTACTACTAGTAAGGGCACAATTTGACATTAATTGAGTTTTTGTTACATCACACTTGTACCATATCACCTTGTATCTTGTAAGCTATAGACATGTCTGTTAATGGCATTTTTATGCTATAGCAATATTCGGAAACAATTCATTTTCTTTAATTTTGGGTAAAAGGTAAAACTACCAGAAGTGAAGAGGATTACTGGAATTACAACAAAAGGGCGTACGGTCCTAACTGGCGATCCATCCAACGAATATGTTACTCAGTACAGGGTTCTATACAGTATGGATGGTAAAAGTTGGACACCGTATAGTTCCCAGACAGTGGGCGACGCGGTAAGTCATATTTTATGTCTTTCAGACGTCAATTAAAATCATTTTGTAGATAAAATGACAAATTAGTACATAATTAAGTTTAATTATAATTTTAAAAGAAAGACAGACAAGGAAAACATAATAATGAAAACGATCTATGGAGGATTTTTTTTAATTGCCTTTAAACAAATGTTTGTAGAATGAAATAATTAAATGAGTATTTCTTTTGCGCCAGTCATTTTAAACCAGTACACTAGATCTATCCCAAAGGTTAGCGAGGACTGCCTTTAAGACCTGCTTATCCCCGTTAATGCCATTACTACCACAATTAGTCAGATAGTAAAATCCCATCATATTATTCGGAAGACTTATCAGGATCATTGTTGCAAATTGTGGTCATCTTGAAAAAAAATCGGGAAAAAGCTTGGTTAAAACCTGTAGTAACCCGTATGTCTCTTGTCTAGGCTAAATCCACCGCTATATTTTCCAAAATAGTAATCTTTTCTTGGAAAGTTATCAAACATGTGATTTTACAACTTGTTTGATTTCAGTTTTTATCTGGCAATATTGACAACAATACTCCGAAGACAAATATACTCTCATGTCCATTTGATGCACGATATGTACGTATAAATCCAATAGCTTGGCACGAGAACATCGCGCTCAGATTTGAAATTCTCGGCTGCAAGTCAGATGGCACTAAACCCACATGTAAGACGCATGTTTTATTTACACTGATATTTTCTAAGATTTCTTAAAAAGGTCTAGAGACAAATGTATTGTGAACAAATATCAAATTATTTAAAGATAATATTTTTTTTCATTGTTGTTGTTGTTGTTGTTAATAATAAAAGTGTTACTTTTTATGTGAGATTCGGTTAAGGGTTAAGACTAGAATTTAAAAAAAAATATTAGTAAAAGCTTTAATGAATTGTAGTAGGTTTCTAGCCCGTTATCAATTAACAAAGAGAAGTTCAGAGTGAGATAAAACCAAAGTTGTTAGATGTAACGACGATCCAACTTCTTACCACCTATACTAATGAGCAAAGGCATAGCAATATGAAATCATTTATCATAAAGGAGGATTAAATAAGTATAATGTAAGGATTATATTTCATTTAATCAGACAGTTTTATATCTCAAGGTTCAACTCCCACACAGCCACCACCAGTTACTATGGAGATGACACCGACCATGATACCATCTCCAACTGTACAAAGTATATTGAATTATAAACATGTTTCTTTCTTATTTACATTTCTAATTTCAATAGGAGAACAAAAAGATGCAAGATAAGGTTTATATTTCCTATACACGCCATGATTGAAGAGTGCATTTTTACATTTAAGTCGCCTTCGGTTATTTTAAAACACAACACAAAAACTTATTGGTTACTTGCGGAGAAATTGGTAACTACTGGTTGGATATCCAGGAAAGACCGATCACCGAGCTATGACCAGATATGTATTAAAATGGACGTAAAATCGAAAGAAAGAAATAAAAACAAATAAACAACATATATTATCCGAACACATTAATATCTAATGCTAAACACATGAATAGTTATTCTGTCATAGGAAATATTTCCCGAGAACAATGTTAATTTAAAGGAGAAAAAACTTGATTGTATCAGCAAAGGAAGGACAATGAAAACTGTAAATCTCTTACACCCCAGATCATCAGCTTGATCAGTACTAAAAATCTTGGGACTAATAGTCCCCTAGAGCCGTTCCAATAGAGTATGTGACAATTACACAAGAATAATAATTCTAAAAAATATTTGAGCCGTGTCATGACAAAACCAACATAATGGGTTTGCGACCAGCATTATTCCAGACCAGCCTGCGCATCCGCGCAGTCTGATCAGGAACCATGCTGTTCGCTTACAAACTCTATAACAAGTAGAGAAACTGATAGCGAACAGCATGGATCATGATCAGACTGGATCCATGCTGGTCGCAAACCCATTATGTTGGTTTTGTCATGACGCGGCTCATTTTTAAAAGACGTTTACGTCCTCGCGTCAAAACATGATTGTACTGTTTAAGTGTCATAATCATAACAAACCGCCTTGTTTTGTTTTATGTTTCAGCTGCATCTCCCGATTTATGTACAGCCATCCCACCTCCTGTTAACGGCATGATAAGTTGCGAGGTCCAAACACAGACCAGCAAACAACTGTAAGTTATGACCGCATCTTACTCCATTTTTGGCCGTTTTCAAATATTTGAAAGTTGTACTACTCGTGTATATGATCATTCCATGTTTTTTGGTAACTTAGCAATTATCAAACATGTTATCATTCGGCTTTACTTTTATTTTTTCGTTTGTCCGTTCGTTCGTTAGTTCGGTAGTTATATTTGTAGTTGGTTGGTTGGTTGGTTGATTGGTTGGTTGGTTGGTTGGTTAGTTGGTTAGTTAGTTAGTTAGTTAGTTAGTTAGTTAGTTAGTTAGTTAGTTAGTTAGTTAGTTAGTTAGTTAGTTAGTTAGTCCGGTACGTAGTTCGTTCGTTCGTCTGTCTATTTGTCGTTGTTTGGTTCGTTTGTCCGTCCGTCTGTCTGTTCGTTCGTTTTGATAATTACTAAACACTTAACAAATAGGTACATGTACTCTTGTTTCTTTCAGAGTGTGTGTAGCAAATTGTAAAGACGGTTACATATTTGAAACAAAAGATTTGTTAATAAAGAAAGTATGTGAGCAGAGTACGGGAATCTGGCAGAATGGACAGGGTTTACCAGCCTGTATATGTAAGTTGAAATCAAGCCTGTTAAGTTACTAGTAATTGATAGATTCCATTGATCAATTATGTGGCTGTTATTCTCAATCACTGTTAATATTAATTTAGAGCTACAGTGTTTGAAATATAATTATTAAATAGTTATTATCTTTACCATTTATAAACATTATATGCTTTGCCACCCGACACTACACCAACTACCACCACCCCAACCCTTCAGATCACCTGTTCATTTACAATAGCATTACCTTAGTTCCATTACATTAGTTTACACATTCAAATAAGTTTGGCACATCTATACTTTCATATTGATCTATTTCATTGGTCGCCGAGTTTAGAATACCACGGCTATTCCCTTATTCGTGAAAGCTTAAAAATGCTGACACCCAATAATCCATGGACATATGATTATATAATTTCAGTTAACAGCAATGCCACTCCGAAACCACCAGTCCATAATGATAGCCGTAAGTATGACGACCGTATGCAAATATGATATTGTTATACATATATTTTGTATGTACGTAGTATCATGACGTTGTTGCGTAATTTTTATTGTGCTTCTACGTGTATCATAAATTCAAAATTGAGAGAGAAATCGGAAGTAAAACCAAAGTAAACAAAATTTTAGAAATCCAACATAACAGTTATTTATTTCTTTCTGTGACCGGCAATGAAAAACTGACCCGATAGCTAGTGTACTCATTTCCTGTTTTCCCCTTGTTTTTATTGCTGTTACTTTTTTATTTCAAAAATTTTATTCTAAATGTTTCAGATGGGTGTCTGACGGCAAAGAATGAATGTGATATTGTCGGAAACGGTGATTTCCATGCTTGTGGAGGCTGCCATTTTTTCGCCTCGTGTTCGGAAGGATATCTCTCAGTCCGCGCATGCCCAGAACAGCTTTTATTTGACGCCGTTTCCGGTTTATGTGACTATCATTCTAGATCATGTCCAAATGCTAATATAGTTGGATAATATCGTTATATATTCATGTTAATTTCATCTAAATATTAATTATATCAATATACATATACACACAAATATATGATATGATAATATGTTTACTGGCTTTTTGTTTTAAATGTGCGCAATGTCAATTAAATTGCGAGAACAACTGGGTATTTCCGGTGGTTTAGTATGGCCATTTCAAACATTAAATCATTCTGCAGACATATTTACATGAGCATAAAACAGAAATCAAAACATCAATGGACATCCCGTATCCATATTTTGTCTAGAACATTAATCAGTTTTCTTGATTAAAATCAAAACACATACTGTATGTATTTTTATCCCTTTAGTGATAAGGCAATACAAATATCAAGAATGATTTTTGGGAGAAAGAAGAATTGTAATTAAAAAAATGTTTCCATGAAAGTTCTGTGAAACATACACATTTTTTAACATAGACAAGTCTGTTGTTTTGTGTTTTTAACAATTCTGTTTTTGTTTGTGTGCGTGTGTGTGCGCGTGCGTGTGCGTGCGCGTGCGTGCGTGTGTGATAAAATGATGTACATATTAAAATGATATCTGGAATTATAGTGGCTGATAAATTGGCCAGTTATCGTGTCTTTGCCTTCAGAGGCCGAACCCGCCGACACGATAATTCTACAGAAGACCTCGTGTCTTCGCCTGTTAAAATCGTTATTTCGTGTCGGCGCCCCTAAAAGTCGGAGGCGAAGACTCGGTAAGTAAGCATATTATTGTGTTTTCCTGTCTTAGTTTACACAAATTTATTTGAGTCCGATTGTGTTGGAAGCTATAACCTTATTAACACTCTCGTAACCGTTCCCGGAAGCAACAAGTAATAAGCAATGAACGTTGTGGCGCCGTTAAATGTCGCATCGCCGGTATATGTCGCACTTACCGCTAAATGTCGCACAATTACCGCTAAATGTCGCAACCGCCGCTGAATGTCGCAAAATCGTCTGCCGTTAAATGTCGCAATGGTAACGTTAAATGTCGCACGATTTTGCCCTACCGTTAAATGTCGCAACACTACCGCTAAATGTCGCAAAATGTTAATTCATGTAAAACAAGAAGCTGGTGGTATTATGTTAATACATGTTATACCATTAGGTGTGCAATCTGGGGACAAACTATCTATCATGTAGGAAATGATTTGCTGTAGTATTTAAATTTATTGGTTGAAATGAAGTCATCTTAGTCGGTATTATAAATTGATGACGACGATTTATCCCATAAAGCCCCTTGTGATTAAACACAAGACTTTTGTCTCCCGCCTATTCGAAGAAAAAGGGGGATATATAAAAGGCTCCGTCCGTCTGTCCGGTCCTTAACTAAGTCATTCATTAAGGGATTTTAAATTAACATATGTTCACCTGTCATGCAAAACAACCAGACCTCCACGGTGGTCCCACTTGGAGATGAAAGGTCAACATTGTCTGATGGAGGTTACAATTCGTGTCTGGTTTATAACTTTTTTGTCCATCAGGTTATTTGAAATAACTTGGCACAAATGCTCACAATTCAAGACAACGTGCTAGCGAGACAATGGTCACAGTCAGTATTGTTTGATGGGGAGTATATTTCTTGTCCAATCACATAACGTTTTCATCCATAAATGGATTTTCAAATAATATGACACACATGTTTATCATTATAGGACCGTATGCCATACACAATACCCAGAATCCTACCTCTAAACCCAAGGTCAAAGCTTAAAGTGGTCACTTAAAATGCCTTTTTGTGTCAAGTCCACAACTTTTTCACTCATCGAAGTATTTTGAAATAGGTTTGCACAAATATTCACCATATAAAGACAATGAGTCATGCGCAACACTCTGACCTCTAAAAAGGCCAAGGTCACTCTTAGAGGCTAAAGCTGAAGATGGACCCAGAGAAAGTATGAGAGACTCGGTTTGATTAAGTCTGTACATGAGGGATAATGAAAAGGTGCAACATCCCTCACACCCCTAGCTTCGGTAAGCGGTACTCAATTTTCAACACTTAAAAGAAGCTGGAATCAATGAGGGATTATTAGTGATTGCTTTTTTAGACCGGATGAAATTTCAGACAGTTTTATAAATATTACAGCGGTGTGTATATTGACATGATAAGAAATTAACAATACATTTCAGTCTGTTAAATGTATATTACTAATAGAATTGACGTGCGTAGCTAGACAATACTATGAATGCTTTGAAATATACACCTGGAAATAAGTAAAGCACATCCCGGAAATTTAAAATTGGTTGTGATTGAAAGCACTGTCATGAGATGACGACTAAAATGAGCTAAGAAATAGTAATTTGATAAGTAGTGATACCAATTTTTTTTATCATAAACCAGTTAATTAATGAGTTAAGTTAATTCTTAACCAAATTATTGAAGCAAAAGCAAATAAATGTGTTGTTTTTTTTTGCCAAAAATGTAAGTGTTTATGAGTTGGTGTTGGAGCGTTCACAAAACATTTACTGGTGGATAATGTAGGTAAATGTTGACGACTACGTAACCTAAAATGACTTAAAGTAGCCAACATTTTTATAACGTTTGTAAACGCCACGTGCCCGGATGATAGCCTCAACTACCAGTAAGGCGTCTAATGTGA